TCTTTGATAACAACCGCCTGCGAGCGATTTGTCAGATACGATTTGATCCAAGCCAGGGCAGTACCTCTCAGACCAAACCGGGTGTATAACCTATCCATAAGGACACTATGGTCTATGGTGTCGAAGGCAGACGATAAGTCAAGTCACTCTTTATTACTTGATGCTACAATCATGGTTTCAAAAAACTGCCCGGTCATTGGTTAACACGTTGTTATCATTTTCATGACGCAATAGGCTACCATAGCAACAATATGACCTCCTAAAAACGCCCTTAATTACAGCTTAAGGGGCCTATAATTCAAAAACGGCAAGGTGAAATTGTTTTATATTATCAACTTTTGATAAGCATGATAAGTTGCAACTTTTAACAAAGTTTAAAAAAAATTCTAGGTAGGGTTCAGAGCCACCTTAAATTTTCGAAAATTTCCTGTTACTGTTGTTATGGTAACCTATTGTGTCACGAAAATGAGAACAACGTGTTCACCAATGATTGGGCAAATTTTTGAAACCATGATGGTAGCACCAAGTGATAAAGAGTGGTTACAACGACCCATCAACATCTAAGTGTTAGAAACTGTGTTGAGCCACCTGAAAAACGGACTTGATTATTTGTTTGTTTGCTTAATTTTATAAGGAGAGAAACTATTTGTGTTCGAGAGAATTAACGCAGTTCTAATCTGGTAATGCGGAGATATTCGAGTTTTGTGTATGTATCTTNCTGCGTGTTGTGTACCCTCTTCTCTTTTTTATTCGACCAAAACCAACGCTGCTTTCTGCTGAATAAATCAAAGGGGGAAATGTGTAGTTTCACTTCGCTGGCCTAGATTTCTGTGCGGAAATTATGTAACATAAACCCAACGAAAGTGTTTACATGGGAAAAGAGTTCAACTCCCACTGGATTGCTTTGGTACACTCACATGTCCTCCCTTTCATTGTTTCGGAAGTGAAAATGCCCTGCAGCTGTTCCCCCAAAGCCGAGCGATTCAAAGTCGTGTTCGTAAACAGAATAATTGTCCTAGCTTTGGTAATAAAAGTACGTCGTCTCGCATACCGACGGAACAGGCATCGTTTGTGTCGATTTACACGGCCACTATAAAATACCGACTGCGGGACTGCGGACTGCTGACTGCAGACTGAGGACTGCGAACTGTGGACTGCGGACTGCAGACCGCAGACCGCAGACTGCAGACCGCAGACCGCGGACTGCGGACTGCGGACTGCGGACTGCGGACTGCGGACTGCGGACTGCGGACTGCGGACTGCGGACTGCGGACTGCGGACTGCGGACTGCGGACT